TTACTTTCAAGGGCTAAAACTGGGCAAGAAATAAGTGCAGACAGTGCTGTTACAGCTGCTAAAAGAAGGACATGGTTAAAATTGATGAGAAGTTAACATTAGCCATCTCCTTTATCTGGAATGAGCATGATAATGACAGATATTTCTCTGATCTGATCTGTTTCACTTGTATTACTCTGGAAAAAATACAGTATTGTTTAACAGTAATGTTTGGCAAACTGCAGCATTAGGGAGATTTTTGTTATCTTACCATCTAATTGTTGGAAAAGTCATCTAAGCCTTGGCAAGGGCTACCCATGGGTAGGTTACCATGCAATTTTGCTACTAGCCTTACTGCCACCTTGGGCATTATTCTAAGTAACTAAACATTTTCTCTCCTCATAAACCTGTGTCTCGTCATTGCCTTAAAAAAAAAAAAAAGATTAAAGGTATTAGAAGTAACTCTATGAAGAAGCTTTAGGCCACAAGAGGTGCTACCTTGCTTTCAGGTCACAGAACCTAAATAGAGCTCCCTAGGAAGTCTCCTAGAAAGATTTAGGCTCTGATTTGCACACATTTGCACAAGGCCAATCCCAGCCTGACTTCATCACTGAAGGGCTGAGGTTTTCCATATGTAAATGATGACTCTTACAAATGTCATAATTAGGATTCAGTCTATATTGTGTCAAGATCTGAAACATTTGAGAAACTTTCTTTTCCCACGGTTTGATAGATTTCAGTTACCTAGCTAAGTAACAGGTTTCCCCACAATAATCCTTTCCTTAAAAATCTCCTGTTTTCCTCTTACCAAAAAGGTGATAACAATGCAGAGAAAAACACAGCTGAAGTGAGTATATCACTTATTTCACTTTGGGAAATGACTGCCATTCATAAAACACGCAGCATTTAGTTACTCCTGTTAATTCTTACCTTTTTCTCTCACTGCCTTTGGCAACACCTCTCACCATGCATTAAATCAGGGTGGGAGAAAAACTTGGGCTCTCATTTTCAGGTGCAGAATGTTGTCTGCAACTTCCATTTACTGAAGCTGTGCATGTAGACCCATGAAGGCATTTACAGAGCAAACCACACAAACCCTTACCCATGTGTTCTAATACAAAGCACAACATTTTAATAGACTTTTGTTGTAAACATAAAGAATTCCTTTCTCCATCCTAACAAGTCACTCTCCAGGTCAGCCCGTTCCAGTGGCTGTGATTCCTCCTCAAGTTTACAGGTCACGACTCTCACGCAAAGCTTTTAACTGTTTCACAAACCCCTCAAACCCTGCAGGATGTCACACACACACCCAGAGCACTTCCCTCGGCCACAGGAATTACATCCAAACCAAGGATGTAATTCTTGGTTTGGACCGAGTCGGAGACACAGCAAAAACACACCCTAAACGCCAGGAGGGACCACTCTGCCCCCGGTCGTGCTCCTCACCTCTCCCACCGACAGCACCTTAGCCAGCTCGGGTTTTTGTCTGCTCTTGTTTTCTCTGGGTCAGTTATTTTCAGGAATATTTCGCACG